AGTAGAGTGGTACATGAATGTACAAATTTTGATGTGTAAAGTTATATGGAAATAGATGACTGAAGACCCAACTTTTCAATGTTGAATAATACCTTTTTAACTTTCATATGGAATCTTAATTTTATCTTTAAGTATCAAGAAGTGTGCATTCATTTACTGTGAAAAGATTTTTATGGAACAATTTCTATTACTATGCAGCCATTAAAAATTAAGCTGGCTGGTTAGCTCATCTGGTTTGAGCATGGTGCTGATAACACGAAGGTCCAGGGTTTGATACCTATACTGGCCAGCCGCCAAAAAAGAAAAATTGTGTTTAAAAAATACCGTCAGTAACATTGGTTATTTCTTGCTATAATTGTAAATAAAAAAGCAAGATTAAAAGTTTATGGTGCTGATAACACAAAGGTCCAGGGTTTGATACCTATACTGGCCAGCCGCCAAAAAAGAAAAATTGTGTTTAAAAAACACCGTCAGTAACATTGGTTATTTCTTGCTATAATTGTAAATAAAAAAGCAAGATTAAAAGTTGTGTAAAAGCAGTATAATGCTGAGAAAACTGGAATAAATAAACCAAAATATCGATACATCATTTATCTCTGGGTAGAGGGATTACAAATGATTTATTTCCTTCTTATATGCTTCTTTTATTTCTAAATTTTCTTCAGTGAACACAGATTAAAATTAGACATTTTTAAAAAAGCTTTATCTATCAATGTAAATGCCACCTGTCTCCAGATAGGATTCTTCTCACTCTCAAATAATTTCTCACTATACTTTCTCAAAACCACCATTCTGGGGTCATTCTGAGTAGCTCACCTGATTGTAGTGATGCACATTCTCGGCCTCACTCCCCCAGTCATAAGCCCTGAATTCATCAGATCGGTAAAGCTGAAATAAATGTTTTTTAGAAAAAGAATATTCAGGGAAAGAATCATGAAAGCTAACAGTAAATTATAGAAAAACGCTGTCTACTAGAAGGATGCAAATGGTGTTTTACTGTTGACAGGGAAGCAATGGTTTCCCTTGGTTTGGAGGAAAAGCTAATGGAAAACCAGACTCACCAGAAGGAAGTCAGACCCCAGATATTTCTCTCTTTGGGGAAGTCCCAGCTCTCCTGAGGCTTCCCCAGTCTACCTCTTGCTTCAGCTCGGGGACTATTTTACAAGCTCTGATTTAAGATGGGGTTCATTTATGTCACCCTCTTGGTCTGCAGCATAACATCCTTTGTCTTAAAATTCAGGGGAATTGAAGCATAACAATGACAACAAGGACACATGGAAAGCAAGCCACTACGCTGTTAACAGGGTCAGTTCTTTCCTTCCACATGTAACAAAAATAAAGATTGAGATGGTTTCCCGTGACAAAGACTCTACCTGTTTGATATGCAGGATGTTCTGTATTGATGACCCACTGGGGGCATGTGACATATACACATCCATTCGACTCTAAGGGAAATAAAATCGTTCAGTGAGATAAACTATGCCTTTCAGAAGCAGGGAAAAATTATGCTGAGAATTAGTAAATGAATACTGGAGCTTGGAAATGATGAGGCAGAATCATTTGGATATGTACTTATGTCAGACACTTGAATGTGAGTGAACCATGGGCTGACTAGTGGGACAGGATGCTTGAGAGCAAACCTACACCTGCTTTGAATCTGTAGGACAATCTGCTTGTTTTGAAGTAGAAGATGCAGCGGTGGACATCATGGAGCAAAGCAGCTAGGAGACTATGTGCAAGTGTGGGGTGTGTGTGCACGCACACGCACGTGCACTGCCACAGATCAGAAAACCTGGGTTTCAGGCCCTAATGTCATTCATTATCAGCTTTATGACTTCAGTCAAGTTATTTAACATCTCTGAATTTCCGTTTTTCCATCTATGAAATGAACATCCTAAAAACCATACTACCAACTTGTCAGGCTCTTGTAGGGATAAAAGAAAATATTTCAAAAGTAAAGCTAAAAACCAATTTTTTCCAAAGATTACTTCAATCTTTGTAAACATTATAGATATAAAAATTACAGTGGTAGAAGAGTAATAATTTTATGTCTTAGAATATAATGAACCTAATCAAGGGAAGCTACTAAAAATCTTTGCTTTTGAACAAGCAGGCTTTAAACAATGGTTCCTCATGGGTTTCAGTCTGACACAGTTTAGCTTCTTAAAGAATGGGGTTGGATGGGCAGGTCTTGAAACCGGCTTCCCTGTAGCAGTCTCACTGGCTGCCATTTGGAATATAGCAGAGATAACTATTCAACCACATTAGTCTGCAATTGTAATCTCCTCCTTCCTCTTGAATTCTCAATAACAGGAAATAATGAGTTGATGAAACAGGACCTCTGCTTCTTCACAGGAAGGGATTCCACTCCTTTCTTTCTGTCCTGTATTTTCCATGCTAAGTGGCGAATTTTATCTGAAACTAAAATCATCCACAAAGGAAGGTACATGTGAAATAAGTTCAGTGCTTGCCTATGCTTGTCTCCTTTTTTAGGATTTTATTTTTTAATGCAGTGTATTCAAATACAAAGAATTCAAATTAACTGTAAAGTTGCAGCTGATTTTGAACATATGAGAAACTACTATCCATTATGGAACATCCATTCTCCTAAATTTGACCAGGGATAAAAGGATGAAGTACCTATTCCTTTCCCTAGTTCTCACATTTATCGTCCTAATCTCCTATGCATAGCAAATACCTGTCTTCAGGGGTTTGGGATACCATATGAATTTATACAGTATAATAGATGCATC